TTTGAAGCCAGTAGGTTCCTATGTGGGTAATCGAGGGAGACAGTGTCTCATTCTGTGTTGCGCAGTTCTGTGAGCCAGATATTGGCTGGTGATGTTGCCACAATTAGAAAAAGACATCTGTTACACACCTAACACTTCAAGTCAAAAATACTGAACCCAGGAATAAAGCCCGTCCAAATAACCTGATTTTATAATACTCCCAGAGCCAATGCGATGCTACCTTTAACCTGGAGATAACAGCATATTTCAGAGACAAATTGTTTTTCTGCAAAATGATTTGAACGTATTTTTTTTTGGCTCGCGTGTGTGTTTTGTTAAGACCAAGTCACTCGATGGATGATTACATGGGTTGCAGTCTAAAGACTTAAGTATTTCTGTCATATGAAGAATTAATTGTGGGAGCAATGATATTTTGGCTGGCGTGATCATTCATCAGGATTCAACTTTACGTTAATCCGTATGATAACAGTGGAGTGATTGAAGATAATCTGGACATACTGGCTGAGTCAATGGGGATGGACTCGGAATGTTTATACATAAAGTCAGGATTTGGGATCACTTAAGACAGTATTCTTCCTGCTTTAATATCACAAAAGTTTATGGATTTGACTTCATTTAGCTCAGGCCAATAATAATAACATTACTACAGTACCAGAGCAAACCTGGACTCGGGTGGAATTTCTACCTCCACATCTTGTTAACCGAGACTGGATTTCCACGTGTTTAAAAATCAGGCAACCCTACAACGCAACACGATATTACAATACAATACATACAATTCCAGCGCCTTTCGTGTCGGGAGGACATCTCACAGAGATGTGGAGGGCAAGATTAGGGGGGGTAGAATCAAATGACCATTATTTGATTCACACCATGTTGTATAAATCTATTCCAACTCTGCTCACAAATGATCCTGGAGTCCTGTAGCTCAGTGGTTAGAGCACTCGCTTTGCAAGTGAGAGACCCGAGTTCAATTCCAGGCAGAGGGCCAAACCTTGGGCAAGTTTCCTTACTCCACACAGAGCCTAATAATAATCCTCCAAAAAAAACAATGATAAATTGGTCATTTTCAATCTACGACTGTTTGTGGGACATTGCTGTGCGCAATTGGCTGCTGCGTTCGCCCACAAGTATACAGTCAATTCACTTTACAGTGTGATCTGTGAAGCGCGTTGGGACGTCCTCCCGACGTGAAAAGCGCTATATCAAATGCGAGGATTATTATTATTATTATTATTAACACTGCTGCCTGGGCACCTGAGCTGGGACGAACTGTGCCGAACCATATGCAGTGATTGCATTCCTTTCCTCCCTTGTTCATTGTCTTTTAACCTGACTGGTTGATTTAATTGCGATGGCGAAGGATCATTTGCCACCTTACAGCGTTTCATTTCTCGAGTGAGTCTCGTTTCAGTTGCGCGGGGCTCATATATCACCCTTTTTGTTATGACATTTTAATACTGCTCTGATGGCTTTCTATCCTGATCTATGAGCAATGACATGAAAAGCTCTGAAATCTGATTGACTGACTGGGGTGTTAAACGCGGAGCTTGGATACGAGTCTCACACGGCTGACTCTTCATGAGCAAGAACTTCTGACAACACCATAAAAATAATAACTCCACCTGAGGAAAGTGGCATTAAGTGTCCTTCAAGTTTCGTTCGAAAGTTGTCTTCCCTCCCTCTAGAACCAGACTCCCGAGGCCACCACAGAGGGTTGACTCAATTCCAACACTGTTGTTTCAGTGCCTTGGGATGTTCTCCCGACGTGAAAGGGAGTGAGACCAATCTTGTCTATCCCGAACGCTCCATAGCTGACTCTTGCCCTTGCTTTCTCGGGTCGAAGGTCCATCATTCTGTGGTTGTCTAATGTATCAAACATCAGCTTCACAAGATTCCCCATTTGATTGTCCAAAGCAGATGCTTGGAATTATTGCTTCTGCGCAAAGAGCCACATAAGTGCCAAACGAGATAACAATTCCATCACTGATCACTCCACAGCCTTTCAGTCTGTCTGTCGTCGAAGCAATTCCAGAACCAATCCATGCTCCTGACTTCAGAGATTGCTTTAGGAATTCCGTGATACTTTTCTCCAATTTGCCACCTTTACTCCCCTGATATTTGCAGTGATTTTAACAAATAACTTTTTCCTCCTGCTTCAAATCACCTGGAGGATCTGTGAGTCTGTGCACTACTTCAGGCTTGAATTAGAGGTCAAACCTATTATGACTTGGTGGCTTCTGAGTCAATTACTGGGAGTTCCATGGGAGCGGTGCAGGTTGATTCACTTGATGGTATCCCCCTCCCCTCTTATTCACGTTAAACTGTGTTGTGTTCGATTTCTCTTGGAGAAACAAGGAACTCACTGTTTTGGGGAAATCTCAACTCCAAACCTCCACTCTTCAAGTCTGACCATTGCAGACGGTTCTATCAACGCTGATCGTCAAGACAGCTGTCTATCTTTCTCAAGTGTCTAATAGCGTTTAATGTAATAAAATCGTAGCAATGGGAGAGTTTTCATTATCTATGTTTGTCCCCCCATTTACCCTAAGCGTTAGCCTATCTCAGTGGTCGCACGTTTGTCAGAAGGTTGTGGGTTCAAGCTCTTAAATTAGCTCAGCTTGGCACATCAGGGCAAGTGTTGGAGAAGTGCTGCAGTGTCAGAGGTTCAATCCTTTGGATGAAATGTTGAAACCGAGGTCCAGTCTGACTGTTCAGGTGGACATTAAAACTATTCGAAAAGAGAAGTTTTCCCTGCGTCTTGGCCAACAACCTCCCAGAGCGTTCACTTTGTGACCGATTATGGGACACTGTTGTGCAAAAATTGTTCTGCCACGTTCAACTACAGATTACACCGTCACAACAACTTACCATAAATCCCGTAAAGTGCTTTGAGATATTTCAGCGAGGATGCAAGGCGCAATATCAAACGCATGGATCATTCGATTGGATTCTGCGTTATCTTGTGTGCGTTAATTGAAGATGTGGAATTGAAAATATTCCCGTCTCCTTCTGATCGCAGGTGACCTTTCTCTATCCTTGACAGGTTTGTGGACCAGAGTAATAAATGGGTTTAATTTGCAGAACCATATTAGCCACAAAAATTCCTTACTCTGCTACTTATCATATCGAACAGAAGGTAGTGTCAAAGCTGCAGTGGTGGTGATTGATAATGTAAATGGTTCCACACCCACTTTCCTGAACTCATTCTTCATCTAAATTGCTGACCCACAGCAAACAAAACAAATACTCAAAGCATTCATCAGTTCTAATACTTTCCCATTACATTAAGTTACATAATAATTACTGTCACTTCTCAGCCAGGCCAGTATGTGCCATTGTTTCCTGCAGTGCCCATTTGCAAGACAGCCACACAAAGCACCAAGTGAAAGCGCAGTCACGCTGAGCATCTTCGGATGAGACGTTGAACATGAAGAGATCCATTTCCTGTGGATGTCTAAAGATCCCGTAGCACGACTCAAGGAGAAGGGAGTTTCTCCAGCTGTCCTGGCCATCGATCCCCCAAATAAATGTGGTCCTTCACTTCATGCCTGTGTGGGGGACGTTGCTGTGTGCGATTTGAGCCGCCCGCATTCGCCTACAAAAGTGGTTCACTTCACAGCAAACCCTGTGAAGAGGTCTTGAGATGCCCTCATGATCCTCAAAGGCACATGCTGAATGGGAGCATTTAAAATGGCCTCTGTCTGCGCTGTTCATTTCTAATGGGTTCTAGCTTTTTTGGGGGGAAAGAAACAAACAATAAACCAATATTTTATTTATCTAAAAAAAAGTCGTTAAGCAACGTGGCTAATTTTTAAATAAAGCCTTTTATTTTCTGAAGGCTTGGGGCTAGATTTGAAACAATTTTTTTGGAAAAAAAAAGTAACCGGCGAAAACAATTCTCGGGGTGAGTGTAAACCCGCGATCATCACGTCCTCACGTGGAGCCATGGACTAAACAGGCTGTGTCATTACCATTTCTTTTTTGTATTACTGTCAATTAAGTGACAAATGAAGAAATAGATAGGATGGGAAAGGGGAATGGGAGTTGTAATTACTGCTGCCATATTAAATTCAGTTAGTCCTCTGAACTGCTGATGCCAGACTGACTGTTCTTAGATACGTTGGTGTATTTGATTAAGCCTCTGGGTCAGAAGCGAGACGACGCCAGCCTAGTCTTCCCTCTCGGGAGATTTAGCCGTTGTCAAAGTAATTTCTCATTACAATGCCTAAATGTGATCTTTTAATTCTTCTGGGCTGAGGAAAGGGAACGTGCAACTAGTCAGTAAAATAATAAAAAAAATCGTTTCATGTTGCCTCATTAGTTTGCAACATACAGACCGCTAAGATAAAAAGGCAGCTGGCTTGGTCTCTTCAGTGAATACTAAAATGTTGTAATAGGTTAGTGTGTGCGTGCGTGCCCACTTTTCTTTAGACTTAAGCGTCAACACCAATTCATAATCTTTCAAATAAAAGACTTCCGGGGCTGCACAGATCATCTTTTGTCCCACTGCTGCACTATTCATAAAATATTGCGGTTTGTTGTTCCCTTAATTAACTGCACGTTGCACTCCTCATTTGATGAAGTCGATTTGGCTTAATTAGCCGTCTTGTTCAACACTCCTTTAACGTCACCCCCGTGGGTTGTCGGCTTGGACTGCGGTCAGTTCAAAGTCCCAACGCGGGGCTCGTTCGAGCACCACAACCTTCTGGGATTAAGAACGTAAGAAATGCTGGGCGAACAAAGGACCAAAGGTCCATCCGGTTCACCTTCCTGGCGGTCGCACTCACCTCTGTCTGTCCCGAACCACCTGTAACTGTGCAATATCCCGTCATGTTATTTCCTGAAAGAAAACGTGTCTAATCTGTGTTCAAAGGAATCGGTGTTCGGAGGCGAAAAGCGTTCACGGCTTAAATTGCGAGAAGAGAAAAATAATTTTTAAAAAGAAAAGCAACCCGATGGGAGTTTCTTGACTTGCTTTGTGTGTGTGTGTTTTGCAGGGAGGGCTGATCGCCCTGTTGCTTCTCATCCTGGTGTTTACCATGGCACTGTACGCCCGGCGGAGGTGGTGTAAGAGGCGTCGAGTGCCCCAGAAGAGCGCAAGCACGGAGGCCACTCACGAGATCCACTACATCCCCTCTGTGCTGCTGGGGCCTCAGGCCAGGGACAGCTTCAGGAACTCACGGATCCAGGCCCACAATTCGGTGGTGGGAATGCCGATCAGGGAGACTCCCATCCTGGACGATTACGATTACGACGACGAGGACAACCAACTCCGGCCGGAAGCCTGCAACAGGGAGGACGATTTCGGGAGCCAGGTGACCCGGACCCTGGAGAGCCTGGGCCGAGCCGAGGAGGAGAAGCCCAACTTAGCAGGTTGGGCCCCTCTCTTTGTTTTCTCTCTCAACGCGGGTTGTAGAGTAACGTTCGTGCAAGTAAAAAGGGAATTCTTATTCTTCCGATGATCCAGGGTGTGTCTGTCCTGCATTGGGATCTCATTCAGTCTTTAATGCATCTTTAATGCCTCGTGTTTAATGCCTCGGAACCACTTGGCGGAGGGGGGTCCCACACCACCAGCGTCAAAAAAAAAATTAGCTTCGAAAATTATTCAATAGGATTTGAAAGAAAAGTCTCTTGCCAAATGTCTTGGGCTGCAGATGGTCAGGAATGTGATTGTAGCTGAAGCGTCTTGTATTGTATGTGTATGTGGACTTTGAATGCATGCTTTCTCTCTACACATTCACCGTTTTTCCCATCTACAATGAATACTTTGATCGCTTTTCATTGCCTGTTGCAGTGAATGGCCAGTGTTAACCTTCACTGCCCTGGCTGTCAGTTGGGAGCGGCTCCTGATTTGGATTCCAGCTTGCGCAGCGAATTTCCGAAAGGATTTGCTGCGAATCCACAGATCTTCAAACTTGCTGCAGATCAGGAACTACCTGCGCTGCATGGAGAAGTAGATCGGGGTGTTCACTGAACTCCCCAATTTGACTGAGGTCAATTTGATCACGTTGAGCCTTGGGTACATTTGGTGCTCGAGAAGCCTTTACTGAGCGTCTCGTGGTTAGCATTGACCCGAACCCTGTCGTTGTTGGAGGTGCCATCCTTCGGATTAGACGTTAAACTGAGGTTTGCCTGTTCAGATGGCTGCTAAACAGTCCTTTGACATTACTCAAAGCGAAAGAGGTATTTCCTCCAGTGTCCTGGCCTATAACTCCCAACTCCCGGATGAAATTGTTCATTCACTTCACAGCTGTTCGTGGGACATTATCGTGCACAAATTGGCTGGCACGTTCGCCTGCAAAATACACAGCAATTGCACGTCCCAGTAAATCCTGCGAAGCTCTTTGAAATGTCCTCCCAAAGTGAAAGGTGCTGTATCAAATGAAAGGATAATTATTTCTCTTTTGAAGTGTGTCAAAAGAAGCACATTACTCGTGTAAGTGGAGAGTGCTGCTGGAGGTGCAGACTTTATTGAAATCAAATTATTATCGAGCCCTTTGGAGCTCAGTTGCAAAAAGGAAGGGAGTGGATCGATGAGCCCTCCACCAGAGTCCACGTAAATTCAAACCCAGATCAGAAACCAGTGCCAACTTCAACTTAATTCATTCAGTCCGGGTAAACTGAACGCAAGCTTAGCACGGGTCAGTTTGCTGAATTTTCGGCACGTTTCCCTGCGATTGGAAGATCATAATGACGCTGTTTCCATTTGACGTGGCACCTTACCCCTTCGAAAAGTCTCAATTTGTTTTTCTGCAAAGGGTGGAGACCACTTCTTTTTGTTGTTGAGCGCAGCAGTCCGTTTGCGCACGGCGACAGCCACGAAGTGAGTGGCCGGTTTGGGGGGACTGTTGGCCAGGACACCGGGAATCGATCCGGGAAGGGAATGGGAAGCTCTATGGGATCTTTAATGTCCACCTCGGTTTAATGCCTCGTCTGACAGCTGGATGTACGAGAAAGCGAACGTGTGTATTTATTGCAGGCCGTCTGTGATCTTCGGGTTTTATATCCTTCACCAGTTTCTCACAGGACTGTGTCGAAAGCCCACTGATACCTTCAGGATGTGACACACGGGGCACTGGGGAGGTTTTGTGTAACTATTTACACTACTCCACTAATCGTCAGGGTGAGTGAATGTGTGTCACCGTGAATGACCATGTGGCTCTGGGCAACATAGCCATGCCACAAAGTCTCCTCCCGGCCACTTCCAGCTCCGAATCCTTGCCTTGATTTTGCATTTGCCTTCTCGGCGAAAGGCAATCGGAAGCTTGTTTTGTCAACCCGTACGGGATCTGAAGACGTGATAAGGCGCTATATCAAATTCAAGGATTATTATACTGTTGTTATTATCTGAAATTGTGGGATTGCGTCCGATCTGATTGTGTCTCGGAAGACGACGACTTCAAAGGATTTACAGTTCATGTTCCCAGCCTGGAATGTGTTGGCTTTTGTGCTTTATCGCTGTGTCCTAAGTGCTCTGGTGCTTGGCCCACTGCGTACGAAATTATACATTCACTGTTGAACCACAAAGTGCATCTCCATTCTTGTTCATTTGCTCATCTTCAATGAACAGCAGATGAGTCTGTTGTCTCCTTGGTGATGGTGAGGGTGTTGTTGTTGGTGTTGGTTGGGGTGGGCGGTGTGGGTGGGGGTGGTGGAAATGGAGGTGCGAGAGGGAAATGTCACAGGAAATTCTCCCTTCAGAACACTTTGTCCCGACAGAAGCTGAAGGCTCTCTCCAAGAAACCAGCTCTTTCTATTGACCATCAAATTAATTCTGTCCCTGTGGTTTTCGCGGTTAATGGCGAATAATTAGCTGCTTTTCAGAAAGTGTTAGTTACTTTGATGTCCCCTCTGTGACAGCCTTGGCACATTGGCTCGTTATTTCCCTCACCTACGACATGTCGGTTACTGTACGCATCCAGACCACTGAGGTACAATTTGCAGGATTCTTTAGAGGCTGAAATCGATTGAAATCTGTTGCCCCTCACTCTCACCGCTCCTGCATGAGCTCTCCGCTCGGGCTAAACCCATCTTGTTTCCCACTTCCCCCGCTCTCGGACAAAAGAGGGGTGATGGACTCGCAGTTGAGTTCCGCGGGGTCTGTGTGACATAAGATCAGGGTAGCTGCAGGATTTGCCGTTTGATAGATCCCGCCCATTGACCCAGGGTTGGCTTGATTCATTCTGACCTTCCGTGGGTGAAACAAGTCACCTTTGGAGCCAATTCAGCTCCAAGGAGAAAACCTGAGTTGTCGCCCTGACCTGAAAGGCGCTGATATGATATAAACGTCAACAGTGTTGGATAAAAGGGTGAATTTATAAAAGGGTGGTTTAAGAAGCTGACAGAGGGCGGAAGCTCTGAACTGTTGGGTGAGAAAAGTAAATATCTGGGACCTAAGTGGAATTTTTAACCATTACATGTGTTAATTATCACCTGGAATCTGTTAGGGACACATTGCATTTTTCGTTCTTGCAAGCGTATTTGAAGGCTGTTCTAAGCTCTGGAATTGGTATATGACGCTCCAGTACCCGTCGAAGCATTGTTTACGTGACAACCTCTTTGCTCTCGCTTCCCACAAGCTGATGCTGGGAGGTGTACTTTTAGTGGCTGCTCAGTTGTTAGTTGTCTGCGCCTTTGATAGCGTTGTCACACACAGAGAGAGCTTTGTGGGATGACAATGCAGCAAAACAAAGCGTTGGCAAAGAACTCTTCGAGTGCTCGCTGAACCGGTTTAATAAGAGTAGTCAACACTACAAAGAAACCGAGGGAGACAGCATAACACGAGCACAAAACCAAATGAAATTGTTGCCAACAAAACAGGAGAGCGATGAACCTCAGACGAGTCGAAGTGAAGTGATCCCTTTCAAGTGCACCTTTTGTGCGACGACGAGTGCGAGGTCTAAACAGCGTCTGCAACAGGTTTGCAGCGTGAGTAATAATAAACCCTTGCCCCGTGACCTCCGGGCTCTCTCAACAAGTCTCTTGTCACTGCGTTGCGAAGGCTGTTCTGTGCTCGTTGCTGTTTGACTGGTATCGCCACGGAGCAGCCCCTCGGGAAAACGCACCGGGTTTCGGTTTGTCGCGGATTTACAGCACCGAACGAAACAGCTTCTGGCGGTGGTGGGGGCCGTTGGCACAAGGCGTCTCGACTGATCGCCTTAAGCTCACCCCCCCACCCACCCACCCCCCCCCGTATCTTCACTTGGAGCTCACCCCACCGCACGCCCTCTGGAAAACTTGCACCGCTAAGTTCCAGTCCTTCAACTAATACCTCCTTCGTCTTTCCTGACTCCAGCGATCGATGGTCTCTGTTCCTGTCGGTTCAATGCTGACGCTGGCGGAAGTCAGGGAGACCGAACACGCCCACCCAGAGGAAGCTCTTGATTTCTATCGGACTGAAACCTTGTAGTCTAAAAGCCAGCGTTCACAAGGCACCTCCTTGCCACCTGATATATGAGATCAGTGAGTCCTGCCAAGGGGTGGAATTGAATCGCGCTTCAGTGTCTGTGTGGGACGTGCGAAGAAACGTCACAAAAGGAGCTTTGCTGTCCTCTTTGCTACGTTACACTCCCCCCCCCCCCCCCCGATGAAGCGCTTTGAGACGTCTCGACGACAGGATGAAGCGGTACTTCAAACTGCATTATGGATTACTGATCTGAGAATTTATATTTGACATAGAGCCTTTCGTGTCAGGAGGACGCCTCAGAGCGCTTCACAGGTGACTGTGTTTTGTTGGCAGTTTTGTGTGGGGCATCATTCTTGCCTTGTTTCCACTTGTGCGTCACTTGTGTGTTGCAATGGAAGAAACCTGCTCATGATATATGGTCTACGCTAGGGAAACATGTCTCATAATTAAAACCTGTTCACACATGGATTCTTTCATCGTTCACCATAAAAAGTCAATTTGTTTGATCGCTCATTTACACTTGAAATCAGAATTTTCCCCGCTTGCTTTCCAGGAAGCAGATGAATGGTATTAATTTCGGAACGTTTTCTATATAATGCAGCTGGAGAAAAAAATGAGCAGCGGGAAGCAAAGCTACAAGGTGGTAATCTAATTGAGAGGTTCAGATAAGTGAATGGTTTGCAACAGACATTCGAGTCTCCTCAAATATATTGCGCTCTTGAAACGACTTATCTTATCTCACGATGCCAATGGATGTTTTGTGTGCTTCTCCAGGAGGGTTTGTGCAATCCTTAGCCATGGGTCAGTGCCAACAAAGAGCTTGTGCTCTCTCTCTCACTACACTGCCCACAAACTTAACCCGCACAGTATGGCCCAGTCCTTCCTCGCATGAGGTCTCACCCGTCTCGCACCCCCAACCCTGTGGAGCTCCACTGTCATCCCGTCTCCCGCAGGGTGGATTTCGAGA